TGATGTCACATGGATTATTTTACAGATCCCCTTGCTATGTTTCTGGACTTGGGAACATTTCAGTTGCGTTGCTGTCTATGCAGGGTCAGACAGCTCTCAGATTCCATCAAAAATATCTTAATTTGTGTTCCGAAAATGAACGAAGGTCTTACGGGTTTGAAACGACATGAGGGTGAGTAATTAATGACAGAATTTTCATTTTTGGGTGAACTAACCCTTTAACTGTAAATGAGTTGTTTTCCCACTGTTTATAAATGGAAATTTTTTCCCCCTTCCCTTATTAAATGTGTCATCTTTCACATCAAATTCTTACATTGTTTAAATTAATTCAGTTAGAATAATAAGAAACTGTAGAGTTGTTACAATCAAATGAAATCAGCATCAACAAACTCAATTTTTCCACTGCAGGAAACACAGAAGCTGCATTTGAAGTGGCATTAGATGTATTTACACAGACTGTTTGATGAAGCCGAGGTGCCATAAATGCATTTACACCGCAAAATTGCAAATTCATATATAATTTATAAGATTAATGTTTTAAAAAAATTTTTGAACATACAAATAAGAAATATTGGGAAAAATGAAATTATGCTTTTAAAAATGAAACCAAATCACCAGTAGGTGGCAGCAAATGACTGTTTTAATGAGTGAGTCATTTAGTCATTTATTCAACCGATTTGTTTAAATGGCTGATTCATTCAGAAACGAGGCAAACTGTACTGTACTGTAAACTGTACGTTTTAATCAAGCTTTTTGTCCTGTCGGGCAAGTAAAATTCTCTCTCACTTGCCCCTTTAAAAAAATCTACTTGTCCCAGACAAACGTTAATCAAGTCCTGTGGTTCCCCCTTAGATTACTTTGGCCCTACACGTATTACAAATTGCAAACTTTTTGTCTTCTTCACTCACAGTGAAGAACTTCCACGCCGACAACATGTTTACATGCGGATGTGAGCGTAGGTGTGACGTCAAAATGGACAAGGTCAAAATCGGCAGACTGACCGGCCGGTCACCGGTAAGGGCCGATCATGTGGAAAATCGGCTAATTCTGGTCCCTGGCCGGTCGATCGGTGCATCTCTTTTATATATGACGTTATGAGTAAATTTTACATGATCTACATGTTATTTTAGCTGACGCTTAATTATCTGTCGCAGCATATGCAATAGATGGCAGGCATATTCAAGTATGTATAAAGTATGTATGTAAAAATTTACAATTCACCCATTAATTTTTTTACAGCCCTGTTTAGTCAAAGTTTAAACCCTTTTTTCAGTGAAGTGGTTGATTGACAGGACCATTATGCATCAAAATGGATCAACATTTACACAACACTTAAGCAGTAGTTTTTTTTTTTTTACTTATGTGCTGTTGACTATGAGCGGAGGAAAACATCATAGCAGTGCTTTCGAAACTCATTACTAGTGCTGATATAGATTGAAGTTTTCTGTGACTTATACAACAGCACCATTTAGTGATAAGTGTTGATTTCAGATTAATTTAGTTTTCGGTGAATTTGCGTAAAGCTCTTGAAATACTGTTTCTGTACTTACTAATTATATTTATGAACATTTTCTCCTCTTTTGCTTTTCAGTTGCGTTCCTTTCTTCAGATTAGGAAGTACAGTCTGGATTTAGCATCACTCATCCTGTTTTCTTACCAGCTCAGCACAGCTCTTGCGTACCTGGAGAGCAAACGCTTTGTACACAGGTAAGTGTCCACATCGTCCAAGCCATCATAATTGATAATGAACGGCACCCACTTCCTGTTGAACGTTTCTGCAGACTGAATCCCCATCTGGTAGCACTTCTGCATGCATATTTATTATGGAAATAAGGTGGAAAGAACAACTCTTATAGATGTCTACTCAGCATTTTCTAAAGTAACCTCTCTTTTTTTCAGGGACATTGCGGCACGGAACGTTCTGGTATCTTCAGTGGACTGTGTGAAGCTGGGAGACTTTGGTTTGTCTAGATACATGGAGGACAGCTCTTATTATAAAGGTAATAATGTATCTTCTTCAGTACAGATCAGAAAGCCCACACAAAAACGTGTTCGCTTCTGAATGTGAAACATTCAGTATAATATAGTAAATTAAATATGAAAATTAAATTAAATGGATAATGTCAAGCTACTTTCGGAGTCATTTTTTAATTTTTATTATCTGATGAACAACAAAAGCATTGACAGCCAATCTAAATCCTTCCCACTTTACAGTGTACTACAATTATGTTCACAAACCATAGTTGTGCTTAAAATAAAAAGGGTGTTATCATGGTTTGAATGCTAATATAGTTTTAATTATCGTTATCGTTCTTGGTATGAACGAACTTTTACATACCTGCTGAATGTACAGTCCTCCACTCATTCTCATTCACACTCATTGTCTCTTTCTCTCTCTCTTCACAGCCTCTAAAGGAAAACTGCCTATTAAATGGATGGCGCCAGAGTCAATAAACTTCAGACGTTTTACCTCAGCCAGCGACGTGTGGATGTTTGGTAAGAGAGTGTGTGTCTGTGTGTTTTACTGCTGTGAATTCCTCTGTCAGAATCAGAGAGTCATCATTGTGCATGTTCAGACAATGCAAAGTCACCATTAGCATTATACATGCAGTGCATTTGGATCATCTAAACTTTTCCGAAACTATGTATAAAGAGAGTTTTTAGTCGAGAAGAATTTTAATATTTCCATCCTGTTTGTGCAGTGACAGTTTAATTAATAGTGTCTTTAATTAGTGCTAAAGTTGAGTTTCATCAGAGGTGGAATCTTGCATTTGTCTTCATGTGTATCTAACCTCAGTTTGTGTTTTAGGGGTGTGTATGTGGGAGATACTGATGTACGGAGTAAAGCCGTTTCAAGGCGTGAAGAATAACGATGTGATAGGCCGAATTGAGAACGGCGAGCGTCTGGCTATGCCGCTCAACTGCCCACCAACCCTCTACAGCCTGATGACCAAGTGCTGGGCGTATGACCCCAGCAAACGACCACGATTCACTGAGCTCAAAGGCCAACTAAGGTCAGTCCACTTGACTTTGTCGAGCTTCAAATTCTGATCCGCTCACTATGCACAGCATTTGAATTTTAAAGGTGATGGTTTTTAATTTATTTATTTTTTTGCATGTGTAAAACTTGGTATTTTTCAGCATATCTTTTTCCAATTCCACATAGGTTGCTAGTGGTCATCTCCACACTTACATTCACCCTCCTGGTTTAGAGTCTCATGACCACAGTAAATGAATCTGCCTAATAGCAGTAGAGGGCACTGTAATGCTAGTATAAATGACTGTCTGACTACAGTGATTGTGTTTAAAGATTGCTGGTCTTGTGCAGCAGATAAAGATTCAGCCCAACACACACCCACACTTGACTGAGTTCAATGCAAAGGACTGAGCATTTTTGACCTGTAGAGTATTTTACAGGCATTTGACAGCAAAACTCTGGTTTGCTTCCAAGTCCAGGTATCATTTATTAATCTGGTTTAGGGCTTTATAGTCCCTGTACTTAGCTTTGTGTATATTATAAAGATTCTGTACATTTACCATGGTTGTTATGGTTTCATGTAAGTTGTCTATATCCATATGTGCACTCTATTTCACATTTTCTTAATTTCAGGATTCAAGAGCTTTATGTGAAGTCAAGCTGATGCACACTAATACAGTTTGAATGGGGAGATGAAATATTTAGTTGCTGTTGTTACATTTGGTTTATATTTATGTTTTACTTTCTATACACAAATATTTTTCTATACGTATTGTACTCTTTACTGTTAGATTCTTAACATTATTTACAACAAATGTTTACTGAACATGTTCATTAGAATTAGAGTTATTTTATTTGTTACTCTTGTAGTTGGAGGATTTATAAAATAAAAAAAACTCCCCATGCACATACTGTATACACTACCTTTAAAAAGTTTGGAGTCAGTGAGACTTCTTTTTTGGAGGGGAAAATGTATGCTTAATTTCATTACTTTAATAAATTGATCAAGAGTGACAGTAAAAACATTTAGAATTTTACAAAATATTTCTATTTCAAATAAAAGCAGTTATTTTGAACAGAAAAGTTTGTTTTTATAAATTGTAATAATGTTTAAACATTATTAAATGTCAATAAATCTTATAGTGATCCCAGACTTTTGAATGGTAGTGTATATGTTCGTGTAAATACTCCGAAAGACATTTTAGAGGAAGTTTAATTCCGTTAAGCCTTGATTCGCCCTCTGCATGTCTGACACTTCCTGTCTGGACCTGATTTCATAATATCCACTATGAGAAAATTCCTACTCTTCTTCTTTTTTCCTCGAGCTTTTATCTGTAACCCTTTCAGGCGTGCACACATACAGACACACACACACACACACACACACACTGCCTGCATCCTTCATGATACAATAGTGTTGAGTTCCCAAATGTCTGTTCATGTCCACACATGCAGTCAGTTCCCGTAAACACTAATGGAAATGGGGAAAAAAAAAACGAGCTGTTCTTTGACAGGCCATCGAATACCTAAATCCCTAATAATCTGCCTTCAGCAAAAACATCCAAGTTTTCTATTTGCTAAAAATCTGATTTGACAGCACTAAATGTTTCCAAGATCTCATGTTATACACAGATGTCCCAGATATCCAGATTGAGGAAGATATGTCATGTTGCTTCTTAAGTTTAAAATTAATTCCTTTTTAGGTATCTTGGATGGAGTGAAATTTTTTTAATGCATATTGGAAAATTCAGATCCCCCATTAAATTAGCAGTAAATTAAATTGTAGAATGTCTGTTTCTAGGAGACCTTGTAAATATTTACACTGTTAACAGCATTTGTAAAGCCAAATTACTGCCATAACTAGTGATAAAGGCATCGGAGCAGATGTTCAGTCAATATCCTGTTGTTAATGATAAGGAAATTAGTTTCTGTATGCTTGAGGTCTATGATTAGTTGATTTAATGTCTTTATGATGTCATCTCAGGGTCAGTGTTGATGGGGATTGTTTTAAAATAGCGTCACATTTGTGATGGCTAAACAGATGTTGGTATAAAACATAAATAAAGTTTATGCAGCTTCTTCAGAAGTATTTCTTAAGGTTATTACATCAGTGAACACTGAGAAGTGAGCATTATGAAATGTAATGAAATCACATGGGTTTGACACACAGGATGCTTAATCTCTATTAAGTCCGTTGTCTGTTCCTCAGAAGTCTTTGTCAGCGGTTGCAGAAAGAAAGTCTAGTCCAAACAGCTTGAGGAATGAATCATTATGTTTGTCTTTGCACTAAATAGTTTGAGTCAGTGACTGAAGTAGTGGTCGACCGATATGGGTTTTTTGACAGCCGATGCCGATATCTTGAAAAGCAGGATGGCCGATATAAAGCCGATATAATTTTATTTATTTTAATTAATATTTAAGAAATTTGAAATCATTTGAAAATGGATTAAAAATAATTGTGTAAAATAATCATATATACACTTTAGAAGACAAAGTATTTTTCACAAATAAATATTTAATAAAAATCTAATTGAAAAGGAAGTAAACACTGTAACCAACAGGGCACTCAGTATTCTGGGAAGTTTGTGTGCATTGGGAATCTTTTTTTCTTTTTTTTTTTCAAATAAAGCCAAGGTAACACTCATTTTACATACAGCACACAAGCGCGTCAAAATAAAAGTCACGCCTCGAACGCATCGGCCAAACAGAAAAACTTATCGGCCAATGCCGATATTTGAAAAATGCCAAATATCGGCCGATATATCGGCCTTGGCGATATATCGGTCGACCACTAGACTGAATAAGTATTTTGTGTGTCTGAATTTCTATGTATGTTGAGATGTTTGGTATTTGATTCTAGGGCAGGGGTCACCAAACTCAGGCCGGTGTCCTGCAGAGTTTCAAGTATACCTAGTAAGACCTTGATTAGCTAGTTCAGGTGTAATTGACTAGAGTATATAGACGCTGTAACACGTACTAAATTAGGTGTGATTGTTGTGTCACAATCACACAGTAAAAACAGTCACTTTCTTTTAATGGAGTGGCCCTCAGCTGAGTATAGTAGCCCAGTAAAGTTCAGCATTAGACTTGAGAAATGAGGATGAGAAGGTGCAGATAGTCTGTCAATCACAGACAGTCAGACAGAGGATGCTAGACTCACGTGATTTGTCTGAGTCTGGGGCTCGATAGTTATTTCATAGATTCTGTATGTGTTAAGGTTTTTTTTTTCCCCCCACAAATATTGTTAATCATTAAGTCCAACCTAGAGCTGTTAAGTACAACCTTTCCATAACAAATTTGGATTTAACTTTTGTTTCATTTAGAAAACTTTTAATTATAATATCATCATTTGGTTTCTTACATTTTTAGTTAGGAAAAAATTTAATCATCAAGAGTTGTTTTGATAGATTTCAGTTTTGTTATTATTATTTTTTTAAATCAAGAATGATTTATTGTATAAGGCCTGTCTAGCCCAAGCCTCATGACTTTTCACTGTTTTTAAAGTAATGTTTTTAAGATTTGACAAAAACAGCTGGTAGGGACTACAACAAGTTACTTCCCGGGTTCGTGACATCACAAACCCAGATAAACCCGCCCTCGGGAAAAGGCAGCAAAGGGGGCGAGGCCTGCGCTGCTTTAGAGAAGAGGAAGAGAAAACTAGAGGTGCACATAAAAATCTATTCATATATGAATCGCGATTCTGTCTTCTAATGATTCTAATGGATTCACAAGTTTCAAAATCAATGTTCTAAAGCAGCAGTTCTCAATACTGGTGTGCAGTTGCCGTACTGTATTAAAGCTTTAATCAGGATAAAACCGTATATTAAAAGCTAAGATAAGCAGTAGCATTTACAAATGACTGCGTATCTAAAAGTATGAGACGACAACAAACAAAAAACATAGGCCTACCATTAAAAGCCGTGCTTGCACAGGTTCTGCACGATCCTCTTCAATAATATCCTCTGCTTCTCAATCGGGCTCAAACTGATAAGCGATATTAATTATATATTAATATAGTATATTGTTTACAATACAACCGGAGCACATGCCGCTGAGGTGAAGGGTGGGATGTTTAGACACACACTAGAGGCGGTTTAGCCAATCACAACACACTGGGCTAGCTAACCAATCAGAGCCCATCGTCTATTTCTGAGGGAGGGGCTTCATAAAAGAAGGAAATGATCAGCGCTTTTCTCAGAGAAGGGACAGAGCGGTGTGGAATAAAGGTAATCTCTCTCTCTCTCTCTCTCTCTCTCTCTCTCTCTCTCTCTCTCTCTCTCTCTCTCTCTCTCTCTCTCTCTCTCTCTCTCTCTCTCTCTCTCTCTCTCTCTCTCTCTCTCTCTCTCGCTCTCTCTCTCTCTCTCTCTCTCTCTCTCTCCATCCACACACTCATGGTCTCTCTCAGAGATAATAGAGTTTCCAAAAATAGTCCCTCTCTCAGTCAGCTTAGATTCTCTCACCCCTAAGACTTACATGCTCCAGCCTTTCTTCGCACCTCTTGCGTTTCTGTAAGCACATCCGAGCACGAGGTTTCACTGAGGACATGTACGAACTTCACATATCGATACTATAAGGACTGTCTCGTGAGTTTTAAGGTCATTACTAACATTTCCATCCTTTAAGGCTTTTATTGAAGCCATTGCTGTGGGTGTACTGGAGCTTTATTGTGTCTATTTTGGGGTCTATCATGAGCAGACCCCACCCTGAAACTACTCAAACGTTAGCCGTCGGTAGGAGTAAACTTTTTTTTAAAGAAGTCTGAAATATAGGACAAGTTTGAAATACAGTAAAAAAAATATATAATATTGTGAAATACAGAAACTGTTTCCTATTTTAATAGATTTTTTTTTCAATCACAACACACTGGGCTAGCTAACCAATCAGAGCCCATCGCCTATTTCTGAGGGAGGGGCTTCATAAAAGAAGGAAATGATCAGCATGTTTCCCAGAGAAGGGACAGAGTGGTGTGGAATAAAGGTAAATTGTGAAAAATAATGCGCTTTTTAAAAAACGAAGCATTAACACATGTTAGACTGCACCCCATAAACACAATCAAGCCTAGAAAAAAAACACTGAACCACCCCTTTAAGAATAATGTTGTTTATAAAGAGATATTAAGCACAACTTTGACATTTGACTTTTCATTTTATTTTTATTTATTTATTTTTTGCATTTTTAAGCTTATTAATTTATATTTAATTTTTGTTTTTAACATTTTAGCAATTTTTGTTAAACTTTTTCTTTTTTTATATAATATTTGTGAGGACAGATTTCAGTCTTGATATTGAACTTGTGTTTAGAAACATTGGTAATCCTCAAGAGCTTTTAAGCCTGAAGTTATCATAGCACCTTTTGGTCTGTTTAGTTACATTCAGCTACAGTTTTTGTCTTTTTTTTTGAGAGCCTGAGACCCCTGCAACAGTCATGGCTGTGTATGATGGTCTGGGTGTGGGGAAGCTCAACAGGTCTGGATTGATCACAACAGGTGTCCCTTCTGTTTATCCTGCATCTCTCTCTTTTCATGGCAAAGCTGAATTTTCAGCAGCCATTACTCCAGTCTTCAGTGTTGCATGGTCCTTCAGAAATCATTCTAATATGTTGTTTTGGTGTTCAAGAAACAACACTTATTATTATCACAGTAGAAAACAGTTGTGCCGCTTAATATTTTGTGTAAACAGGGATGTATTTCTTTCAGGATGTAACATTGTAAATGTTTTTACTGTCACATTTGATCAATTTAATGCATCCTTGCTGAATAAATGTATTAATTTATTCAGTTTTGAATAAATGTCATAATTTATTCAAAACTTACTAACCCCAAACATTTGAACATGCAGTTTATTATGGATGAGGAGTTTGTAAATCCTTATATAAGTGTTTAACATGCCTCTTTTTATTCACACAGCAGTCTAGCATGACAAAAGATGATGGATTACTGTAAATATGTTAACATAATGAGATGTCTGTCGTCCTCTTATCACGTTGACTACTTACAGCTTCTCGTGATGTATTTGATTGTGAAATAGTTCGAATAGTGTTTCAGGTATGAATCAGTGTTGTTTTATTTTCTGTGGTCGTCGACCGTGTGTGGGTTGGGATCTTACACTGACTAGTCTGTGATGGTAGAGTGACTCCACCTTTCAACCGATTGCATAAAATTGGAATTGTCATTCTCTTGAACTCACACCCATTGACAAGTATTAAAGCAAAGATTGAGGGAAAATTTGTAATTTGTGAAGAGATTTATTACCTACCAGCTCTGCAAGAGTGGTCGCAAACGCAAGGATCCATATTTAGATCTCCTAAGGAATTGTAGTCCTAGAAGAAGGATGTTGTTGCTTGATAGAGTTTTCCATCGGTGTTTGTGCAGTACAATCCTCGGGGAGGAGAAGGCTCAGCAGGAGGAGCGCAGCCGTATGGAGATGAGGAGGCAGGTCCCCGTATCCTGGGACTCAGGAGGCTCGGACGAAGCACCACCCAAAGTAAGTAACTGCGCCGGGCCATTTCTTTTGTTAAACTATCTGACTATGTCCATGTGATTGCAGAAAAGAACATCAGTTTAAATTCATTGTATTGTTCATGTGTTTTTTACGTTTTTACATTTATGGCAGCCCGAGTTCATCTGGAACAGCAGATTTATTACCAAGGTTAACAGCGTGTCACCATTTGTCACACATTTGTCACCTTTAACCTTTTTTTATTTGTTGAAAATTAGAGTGAAAGAAGGACGAGGAATTTTTTCCCTCTGAAAATTTTGACTGCAATTTTTTCTTCATTTTATTTAACAAAAAACAAGTGTTAAACAAGAGTGTGTGTGCTTCAAGTGTTTATATATATGTGTGTGTGTGTGTGTGTCAGGTCATGTCTTCTGTCATGTAACATCACTGTGTCTTGGATACAATACAATTCTAGTTTCTCATTTGTTATGGTTGTATAAGGTGAGGTCTAAACTACTGAGCCCACCAAGACAAATTCTTCTATTTTGCATTTGTCTTAATTTAATAAAAAGAAATAATATAACTACATTAATGAATACATTAATAGTTATATTATTATATTTACTTGTTTGATTTTGAATCACAGATGTTCAGTGTGATCTCAGGCTTTTGGACCCCCACTGTCTGTTACATATGCTTCCCATATGCAAAAATGCTTCTTCCCATGTGGTTCTCTGTCTTCACTACTCTCTTCATCTGTCTGAGCAAGCTGTGGGATCAATGAATATCATTAGATGTGTCATAATCTTTCCATATTTTATAGATTCAAGCTCCATTTATCACTTGAAGAATACAAAGAAATCAATCACAGTCTGACTGATCGATCTATAAACTGATCAGTAATTCAGTCAAATTAAGCCTCTTTTGGATGAAAATGAATACATCCATGAAATCAAGACTTGGAGTCCGTGTGTGCCAGCTTTGAGCTTTGCTCCTCAAAGTTGACTAATTAATTTGAGAAATATTCAGATTTATGTGCATTTAAAATTTGCAGTCTTTCTTTTCTGAGAAAACACTTTAAACGTATTGATGACTCATTGAGTCTTACTTCCTCTTTTAATAGGAAATACACTCAAAATTATTTGTAATATCTGAAATAAATTATTTGTAATATTAAATAATTGATCAATTATTCAGAAAGGATCAATTAAAATTGATCTAAAGTGACTGTAAAAACATTTATAATGTTACGAAAGGTTTCTATTTCAAATAAATGCTTTTGAACTTTTTATTCGTCAAAGAATCCTGAAAAAATGTATCACAGTTTCCACAAAAATATTAAGCAGCTTTTTTAAAACAACTTTTTCAACACTGATCGTAAGAAGAAATGTTTCTTGAACAACAAATCAGCATATTAGAATGATTTCTGAAGGATCATGTGACACTGAATACTGGAGTAATGGCTGCTGAAAAGTAAATTACATTTTTAAATTACAACATTTTGAAATTAAAATAAAATGCCGTAGTATTACTGATTTTGCTGTATTTTTTATCAAATAAATGCAGCCTTGGTGAGCATCAAACACTTTTTTTCCACATTAAATGAGTAAACATTAAAAACATTCTAAAATCTTACTGACCCCAAACATTTGAATTGTAGTTTTTATTTTTTTGATTGATTCTGTTAGTCTGTCTGCTTTTAAATCCTTCCCTCTCCTGTGTTGCTTATATTGTGGTGATTGATAGGCCAGGCTGATCTCTTCATTCACTCTGTGTGTGGCTTAAAGCACTTCATACTCTTACTTTCAAACCCCCTCTGCTCTCTGTCAGACCTGCCAATCATCCTGTCCAGGTGCTGATGTCTGTTTTAATGTTGACTGGTCACACCTGGCTTTGTACAAATGGCCAGAATTAATCTGCATTCATCCATGTCATGCCTCACTAAATTTCTGCCTTTGTCATCCCTTCTGTTTGTGCCATGTTTACCCGTGTTGTTAAGCTCATCTTATATTTTGTATGTGTGTATGTGTAGCCTTCCCGTAGACGCCCCCTCCAGCACAGCTTCAGTATGGACTGTCTGTCTGCGCCCACATCTGCTGCTTCTCGCCCTCCACAGCAACCCTTTGGTTCCCAGATCTCCCTTTACATCCGCCAGTCCAAGCCGCCTGCCTCTCCTCCGGTGCCATGCGATAAAACCATCATTAACCAATCACCACACATGCAGCACAACACTCATGCTAATACACAACAGCTTAGCGTACATCCCCAGCATACATTCCTGCAAACTCAGACCCCGCTTCTGCTTCAGCCGTTACCGCTGCACTGCTCCCTGCTATTCCCTCAGGGGCCCAGAACGACACCCTCTGTCCCCCACAGTGCCACCCAGCCTGCTTTCTTCGACCCCTACTATCCCACCATGCAACAGCTGAGCCTGACCCACGTGCCCTACAGATTCTCACAGGCAGGTGTGCTAGGACTGTTAGCGGGGCATCCCAGGAATTTTACTGTAGCTTTCTACAAGTACTTTTATTGGTGCATGCCATTTTTAGCTGCAAATTAGACATTATAGAGGTAAAAAAAAAAAAAAAAGACTGAGTATACCCAATATGTAATGGAGTGTAATAGGGCCTGCCCACTTTTTCAGCAACATTTGTTCCGGAAGTTATTTTTTCTATACATTTTTCCCATGGGAATTAAAAAAAAAGGCTTAAAACAACAAATTAGCTAGCTTTGAGGTGAATCACTACATTATTAAGTATTTGACCAAGGTACAAGACTGTGTACTGAGAAATGTAAAACTATTGATTTATATGTGTTGATTATGTATATAGAAACATTATATTTAGTTTATTACAAAATACGCATACAAGTATTTAAGTAGTTCGAGAGCATAAAGAAACTGACTCTACATCATTCACTGTGCTTCATTGGAGTGGGCCATTCTCTGATTGGTGGAGATTTCTTAGCAGAATCATGGCTAATGTAATGTTTCACCAGGTTTCCTTTTTAAACAGTTATTTAAAAACTAAGCTTAAATAACGAGGACTGACGGCTTGAACAAAAGCATATTCCATCAGTTAATAACCTTGGAGCTCACAGTAGGTCTGTATTCAAAGGTTTATAGGTTATTGTTAAAATAATCAGTTGCCCTGTGGAGAAAGTTAATGTGATTGTTATTTCCGGAACCAGACTATTGCACTCTATTGGAAATATGAAGGATTAAATTCACATTGCATGCCACCTCTGGCTTTTGGAGAAAATGCAGTCAGATTTACATGTATACAGTACATGTAGGACAAAGCCAAACTACAATCACATTATCTACTGTAGGTCTGTTAGTCGAACTTTGCAAAAATCATGTAAAAAGTATTTACATGACATTTTAAAAAGACAAATTATTGCTTTAGTCTGACAGAAATTGAACTTTAATACAGTAAAGGTATTTTACTGACTCAACCACTGTGACTTAATTACCATGGTGCCTTTTAGGCTTCAATGTAGTTCTTATTTTAGAGCCATTTTAGACCATTTCAGTCATGATCAAAGATGATTTTAGGCTAAAACCAAGTTAAAAAATCTTCCAGATAAAACTGTGTAGGAAAACTGCATGTTGCCTCTTCAGTGCATGTAAACTAAACTGTGTGCCAGACCTGATGTTTAACATGTATTTAAATAAAAATTAAGCTTAAACCTACCATTGATAGACGTGTGTGGTTTTGTGAATCTCAAAAACGAATATAGCTTTATTTTCAGAAGCGCAGACAAAACAGTTGTAAAAAGGTTCCCAACCCCATCTGCATCTCCAAACATCATTATTAACAAAAGGAAATTTTTTTTGGTAGTCCTTCACTAGAGACAATAATTCCCATCACTCTCATGCCAGTCTTCATGAGGGTTTTTTCCCCCATTTTAAGCCTTTTCTGTCCACTTAGTGTATGTTATTGTATGTTGTCACCTACTTTTCTCCTTCTGTTCCTTTGTTTCCTCCTTTGCTCATCTGGAGCTGTGGTCAGTCGACTCTCTATGAACGGGTTTATAAGGTAGATCAGTCCAACTTCTGTTTTTTTTTTATCTACCCACAGCTGAGCACGGAGTATCCCAACCAATCGGATGAAGACTGCCTCCTGTCAATAAGCGTTAATTTTTCAATCCCTTCCCTTTAATATATAATACCCGCCCACGTACTGTAGAATGATAATAACATTTCTGAAATAACGAGCATTGTGTTAACATTTAATTAACTGCTTGCATTTTCTGTTTGCCTGTTTTAATTTTTTTCCCCTTCAACAGCCTGAAATCTTCATCCACACAAAATGCCAAGAATTTTGTGTGCGTCTGGTGGACTGATTTTAACAGCATCACCTAACATTAACCCGATTGGTCAAGATATACTAGTATATTGACATAGTTGTGTGTATGATTACAGCCCAGTCGACCTGGTTATCCAAGTCCCCGCTCCAGTGAAGGGTTCTACCCTAGTCCTCAGCACATGGGCCAGCACAATCATTACCAGGTACAGTGCTTCTATTAGTCTAATTCAGATGGGTAAATTCACTAAGACTCAGTTCTGACTACTAGAGTGTGGAGGACGCAGCAGACAACTAGTTGGATTGCAAGTGGATTGAATAAAACACTAGTGAATTAACCCCTGAATGTACATAAAGAATGTAAGTTTGCTTTATATGTCCTTTTGGCATGATGTAGATGGCAGGGCACTCAGGCCCACACGGCTTGCTTCCAGTGCCCAGCGGGATGTACCCTACCCAGGCCGCAGGGACTGTACTTGATCCCCACGACAGCTGGAACCATTGCAGGGCTGCTCAGGATCACATGTGGAATCCCAGCATGGAGGTTAGACATCTGCAGGATTTCTGAATGCTGAAAACTAAGCTCTGTTTCAAAACCGAATGAGCTGCCAACATAAACAGCATTTTAGGCATCTCAGAGATGCTCCCAATGTGAAGGCTGTTTTAAACATTAATAAATGTTGGAGGCCTTTTAAGGTAGCTCATTTTGGCCAAAGGCTGCACCAAGTGTGTTCTTCATGAGTAAGGCAAATCATGCTGATGCCTTCGTGCTCTTCTCATGGCCTGCATGACCTGAAAGGAGTTGCTGCTATAAAGAACATTTCAAATCAGTCACTTTGAGGTTTTATTTTGGATTCCATTTATTTATTTTACATGTATTTATTAATAAGTATGTAAATTGGTTGGTTTTCTGCATTAATTGGTCATAAAATATCATCTGATCTTCATCAGATTCACAAGTTTAGACAAATACAATGTTCTTATGCAAACAACACACAAAAAGTTATAATCTTTTTTGTCTTTATTGAACACTTTCCATTAAACATTCACACTGTGCTGTCGAAAGAGTAAGTGAACTTTACCTTATTGTCCTTACCTGGATGATCCGCAACTGTTTTTTTTTTTCGTGTGATGAGTTTCATGAGTTGTTCACGAGTCCCTTGCCTGTCCTGGGCAGTTAAATTTACCACTGTTCTTCAGAAAAAAAGCCAAACAAGGGCAATTGTTAATAGCACCACTCACACAGAAGTCAAACCGAGCAGCTGTTGTTCAACAAGGCGAATTCTTGTGACCAACTTGAACAACTTGAGCAAAATCTGTGGGGAAATTCAGAATCTTATGTGAAGCTCACAATCATGCATATTCCAATTGAAATGACTAGTATGGTAAATGTTACTGGACCTTAACAGAAGGTAGTTAAAGGGTTAGTTCACCCAAAAATGAAAATTAGCCCATAAATTACTCACCCTCAAGTCATCCTAGGTGTATATGACTTTCTTCTTTCAGACAAATCCAGTCGGA